ATATATATATATATATATATATATATATATATATCAAATATATTATCTTTATTTTATATTTATCTATAGTTAGTTTGTTATTATTTCTTATTTGTATTTTGGGTTTAGTGCATATTTTTTTTATAAATAGAGGACGTTGTGTGTATATTCAACACAAGAGAAATTAATGTCATACATAATTTTCACTATATTCAACATGGTATCACAGTTATGGTTAGAGTCTATCCTAGCGATATTTATTTATTGTTTGTTGAGTATATTGTTCCACCCGCTATTGGACCACCCATTAATGTCTAGTTTCACGTTCGAGATGATGTCAATACCTCGGCATGAGGGAGTGTGTTGGAAGTCCCACATCGATTAGAGATAAGGCCAATTTATAATATATAAGTGGGTGCAAACATCACCTTACAAGCCGGTTTTTTGGGATTGAGTTAGGCTTAAAGTCTACTTCTTAACATGGTATCAGAGTTCCTACTCGCTCTTACCGCCTTTTAAACTTGTGGATCTGCTCTTTTTTCGAAGTCGCTTTTTTCCTCTTTCAGGTTCATCGTGTATTGTCACACGTCTCATCTCCTCCAGGCAGCTATTCAGAACATCGAGGTTGCTCTTTTTCCTTTTTTAGGTACCTTGATGAGAAAATCTTAGATTTTTTAATATTTCTCTCTCTTATTCATCCATGGTGTTAAAATAGAATGACTCAATTTCTCACACCAAGAGGGGGTGAATCGGTGAAGCGTAAAAACAAAAGCTTTTAAAATCCCTTTCACAAAATGTGTTATTAATTATGTGTTGTCATAATAAAAAACACAGATATTTCTGAGATTGGGTTTAGCAACACTTGTGCTCCCACTATCAATAATCTCAACACATGGCTTCTTCCGTGGTTATCTCTTCTAACCTCTTTTTGGTCACCATTGCGTTTGACCTGTTCATATATGCTTTTTTTCATGGAAAAGATGGTTTTTGTTAGTTTATTTATAGTGGTGGTGACTCTCCAACAATTACCTCTTTATCTATTGATGACATTCCTCAGGGGCGATTTGTAAGAAAAGATTTACATGGAGCAATCTCTCAGATTTGTTGTTTAGGGGAGTCTTTTGGGTTGGTATTTCGTCTTTTATATTGTCTTGCAAATCATTAGCAATTTGGTATGACTCGAGTGCAAAAACAGATATTTTCACTAAGTCTTTATAGATTATGTAACACCCAAATAATTTAAAGGGTATTACTGGTAGTAGAGACTAAATTAATTTGATATATGATATAAACAATCAAACTTTATTTCAATTCCTCCAAAGTACAATACAATACTTAACATAAATTTGAAATTAAACATATAAGTCTTATACAACATATTTTTCCAATGCAAATTTATTCTTTTTACAAAAATCCCTGAAAGATTTTCCACGCATCTCTCTCATCATCTCTAAGCATTTTCAACCGCATCTGCAACATTATCTGCTCAAATATAACATGAGTTATATGATCATAGAACAAACAAATAAGAGTAAGCCAACAATATCATACAATCATTAAACTTACTTATAATATAAATGTTTCAATCATGTATTTCTACAATTTATAAATACCATTATCCCGATGTCATTAATCCATTTTTTTTAAACTTCTTCAAAATCCTCTTTTTCATTTTCATAAACCTTACAAGTATACCATGCTTACTCACGAAGCCTTATGGTCAGACCGCTCTTTGCCTGCTTCCTTAAGCCTTACCTGTATACTATGTCTTACTTTCTGAAGCCTTATGGTCAGACCTCTCTCTGCCTGCTTCTATAAAACTTACGAATCATAT